CATCTAGATACGCCACTGACTTACATGGCCAGAAAAATAAAATAACTGAATCGATGTGCCACCAAATCGTAACCAGCCTTAACCATACCCTCACGATGTCACCGGGGACGCAACTGCTAAAAAAACTATTTTTGGCAGCGAAGGGACGCTACCAATAAACAATCAACAAACTACCGGGTTTCTGGGTTGATTTGCAAGGTACTACATGGCTCAACTATTTTTTACTTAGGGGTTAATTTGTAAAAATCGCACATAAATCATACGACGTCATTGATAACGCTGGGGACGGCAACTCGATTTTGAAATTAATTTTCCTATTACAGTTATACAAAATAAATTCTAGTGACGAACTATTGTCTTCAGTTGTTTTTATTCGTCATTCAACTGTCATTTTATTTATTATTTCGGTGATATTACCATTCTCAATAATCTATAAAACGCCCACCCCACTTCACCTTCGCGCCCCCATCAGGCCCCCCCCCCCCCCAATTCAAGACATCTAGATACGCCACTGATTTACATGGCCAGATGAATTAAAATACGATGAAGGGACGCTACCAATAAACAATCAACAAACTACCGGGTTTCTTTGTTGACTTGCAAGGTACTACATTTCTCAACTATATTTTACTTAGGGGGTAATTTGTAAAAATCGCACACAAATCATACGACGTCACTGACAAACTTCTAATGACGAACTATTGTCTTTGTTGGTCATTCAACTGTCCTTCTATTTATTTTTTCGGTTATATTACAATTATCAATAATCTGTAAAACACCCATATAACAACGTCACGTTAGATTGATCGGTCGGGACGCCATGGTGACGCTGGATGGGTCAATTTTCGTCGGAAGGTATCAAGATGATAAACAGTTTCATTGGAATCAATTCTTACTTATGTTAACGACATGCTTACCCAAGATTGTACTGACACTGTTTTCAAATCACGGTCAAGTAGTTAAAAATCATCTAAAATCACCTTATTTTGCGAATTAGAGCCCCTCAGATCATGAAGGGACCTCAGATGAATAAAAATACTCAATCAATGTGCCACCAAATGGTAACGAGCCTTCACCATGCCCTCACGATGTCACCGGGGACGCAACTGCCAAAAAATATTTTTGGCAGCGAAGGGACGCTACCAATAAACAATCAACAAACTACCGGGTTTCTGGGTTGACTTGCAAGGTACTACATGGCTCAACTATTTTTTACTTAGGGGTTAATTTGTAAAAATCGCACGCAAATCATACGACGTCACTGACAACGCCGGGGACGGCAACTAGATTTTGAAATTAATTTTTCTAATAAAGTTATACAAAATAACTTCTAGTGACGAACTATTGTCTTCAGTTGTTTTTGTTCGTCATTCAACTGTCATTTTATTTATTCTTTCGGTTATATTACCATTCTCAATAATCTGTAAAACACCCACATAACAACGTCACGTTAGATCGATCGGTGGGGATGCCGTGGTGACGCCGGATGAGTCAATTTTCGTCGGAAGGTATCAAGACGATAAACAGTTTCATTGGAATCAATTCTTGTTTATGTTAACCACATGCTTACCTAAGATTTTACTGACACTGGTTTCAAATCACGGTCAAGTAGTTAAAAATCATCTAAAATCACATTATTTTGCAAATCAGCGCCCTCAACTGTTCATTGAACCCACTTCCCCACCCCACATCAGCCTCCCATTTCAAGACATCTAGATACGCCACTGACTTACATGGCCAGATGAATTAAAATACTCAATCGATGTGCCACCAAATCTTAACCATCCTTCACCATGCCCTCACGATGTCACCGGGGACGCAACTGCCAAAAAACTATTTTTGGCAGCAATGGGACGCTACCAATAATCAATCAATAAACTACCGGGTTTCTGGGTTGATTTTGAAGGTACTACATGGCTCAACTATTTTTTACTTATTGATTAATTGGTAAAAATCGCACACAATCATACGATGTCACTGACAACGCTGGGGACGGCAACTCGAGTTTGAGATTAATTTTCCGAATAAAGTTATACTAAATAACTTCTAATGACGAACTATTGTCTTTGTTGGTCATTCAACTGTCATTTTATTTATTTTTTCGGTTATATTACCATTCTCAATAATCTATAAAACACCCACATAACAACGTCACGTTAGATCGATCGGTGGGGACGCCGTGGTGACGCTGGATGGGTCAATTTTCGTCGGAAGATATCAATATGATAAACAGTTTCATTTGACTCAATTCTTGCTGGAGTCGGGTGCAGGTCAACTCGGCCACAAGTCAACTCGGCCACAGTCAACTCGGCCACAAGTCAACTCGGCCACAAGTCAACTCGGCCACAAGTCAACTCGGCCACAAATACTCGGCCACAAGTCAACTCGGCCACAAG